TCCATTATATAAGTCTATCCCTCTCACTTGCGTGCAAGCTAATGATTTCACCTATAACTACGTGATCTTGAAGGTATAAAGAGGGTTGAACATTATTTGAATTGGCCCGATACTTACTGGACCAGATTAGATGCGAGGCTTTCACCCTTGTCTAGACGAGCCACTAAAACCAAATGTTTTTAATTTATTTTTTGAAAAATCAACAAAAAACAAATAGAGTGCATGTCAAGTTGGGTTTGTCGATGGATAAACTCCACATTAGTTATAGATATAAATAATTAATGTATGAGGACTTTGACCGATCAATACAAGTCAGACTACTGAATCGCCCAATGAAATATGGATGGTTAGTCTGAAACAACTTTACATCCCTACATCACCTACCGTTGAAGGGCTCGATATGTGTTATATTTAAGGATAAGAATTCTTGATTGGTATAACTTAGATTGTTGGTGTATTTGGATTACTTGGAGGTTTATCCTTAGAGCCATTATTTGCAAACTTTGTGACATTTGTTATATATTATAGACTTTAAGTTTTTGTACAAATCACATTATTAACTGTGTATGATTAATGACCATAATTTTTTTGGGTGACAATTAGTGATTTGTGTATACACTATAGTTAGCATAATGAAATATGAATAACCTAATTAACAAAATGATAATAATAATTCAACAAGAAATCAATAGAAATAAAATTAAAGTTTAGAATGACTGTCCTTACCTCTCTGTGTGCAGGTTCAACATGGTTCGAGTTTCTTTTTTTTTTATATAAATTCGATTTGAGTAACGATAAATAGGGTCAAAATTCACAACATTTTAAATAAGCATGCCTTGGCTAAGCTTAAAAAAAAGGGTAGAAGTGCTTTTTGAAGACTAAGCAAGATTTTAATAAAGAATATTGAGCTCCTGATTGGTTTCGTGGAATTAAAATCAAATTTTTAGTACATTTTGATAAAAGTTAATGAGATGTGTGATTGAAAAGTTGGTGGAACCTAATTAAGACCATGTTTGCTGCACTTAAAAAAAGTTCTTTAAATTTTGCTTTTCTGAAAAATACTCAAGAGAAGCTTATGTCTTTGAAAAAGTCTCCAAAACTGGGGGTCCTTGCTCATAATAACATATTAGGGAAAAAGTGATTTTCAAGTTAAATTTTTAGTTTCACACCTTTTTAAGCCTATGCTATCCGACAGAGAGGGGATGACAGAGAGAATTATCGCATTTGTACTTAGAGCTATGTGAAATTTATGAACAGTTAATACAAATGATGGTTCAAGTTACTGCTTTATTTTTTGGAGATGATGCAAACTTTCTTCCAATTATAACATTCTATCATATTCAGTTCAGAGTACCTTACTAAGAAAAGATGTCTTGTCTCTTCTCGTCTCGTCTTGTCGTGTCTCATGCTGTATTATCAATACCAAGCTACATGTGTTTCCAATATTCAATAGTAATTAAGAAGCGAAATGCCATAATTATTTTACTTATAACTAATAACAAAACAATGAAGAATCTCTGTAACACATGAATGCTTACTTAGGTAAGGCAATTCTTTAATTTTTTTTAGCATATCTGTTATTTGCACTATATTACAAGTATGCACACAAATCTCAATTTTCTTCAAATATCTGACTGTTTCGAGTGTCGAATGACCTTCATTAGATCATCCAGCACCAACATTGCATAATATGTCATGGTTTGTAAACCTATCTGTCGACTAAAGTCACGGAGCAATGCTTTTAACAATTTTTTGTGAAATTGGAATAT